TGAGTTTATCAGGATTGTGATCATATCCTGGGGGAGTGGGAAACACCAAGAGAGAGAAAAATAATTGAGTGTATACTCTGTATAATTTTATCATATAGTGGAATACCCTTTGGAGTTTGTCCCGTGGTTTTTCCCTCAATAGTTTTTGGGGGTTTTTTCATGTAAAATTTAGTGTTATTTTGCTTGTTTATTTTCCCGGTTAAGTGGCTGGTTGAACCACCCATTTTATTTATATTTCTTAAGTGGCAGGTTGAACCACCCATTTTATTTTTGCTTGGTCGGCTAAGCCGCCTTTTTCACTAACCGTTAATATTGGTCAGCTAAGCCGCCTGTTTCACCGTTCCTTGTTATTATTCACATGTTTTATTCACAGGAATTATTTTATTCCGTTGCGCCAATTTTTCCCAACAACTGGTATCAGAGCTAGGCACTGCTAATATTCACGTGAACAATGGAGGTGAACCAGAGCAAAATGATCACGTTGAATAGTTCAAACTATCAGCTGTGGAAGGGGAAAATGGAAGACCTTCTTTATGTGAAGGAATTTCATGAGCCTGTCTTTTTAGAGCAAAAGCCAGACAGCATGAAGGATGAAGAATGGAGGCTACTCCATAGGCGAGTGTGTGGATTTATCCGGCAATGGATTGATGATAGTGTGCTGAATCATATCAATGATGAAACTAATGCACGCACACTATGGACAAAGCTAGACCAACTTTTTTGGGCAAAGACTGCGCAAAATAAATTGTGCCATATAAAAAAATTGATGGACTCAAGGTACAAAGATGGCACTCCCACAGCAGACCATGTTAATGATTTCCTTGGCATCATCAAGGAGTTAGCCAATTTGGGCATAGACTTTGATGATGAAGTGAATGGTTTGATTCTTCTCAATACCTTGCCGAAATCATGGGAGAGTTTTAGATCAACAACAATCAACTCATCTCCTGGTGGTCAAGTTACACTGGAAATTGCCAAAAACAGGATCTTTGAAGAGGAAAAAAGGATGCGAGCACTGGGAGTCTTCTCGCAACCAGATACTCAAGCTCTTGTCATGGAGAATAAAGGCAGAAGTAAAACCAGAGAACCTAGAGGACGAGGAGGCAGATCCAGATCCAAGTCCAAAAGTAGAGTGAAATGCTATCATTGTGGCCAACTAGGCCACATGAAAAGGAATTGCTACTTGTTGAAAGGAAAAGACAAGAAAAAGGTTGAAGATGGCAATACAACCGCTGTAGCATCTACCAGTGGCGGTGATGTGACTCTACTATGTGATTGTGGAGAGTGCTGCCATGTAGAAAACTTGGATGCCGAGTGGATAATTGATTCTGGTGCCTCTTATCATTGTGTTCCCAAAAGGGAATATTTTTCAACATACAAAGCAGGAGACTTTGGCACCATAAAAATGGGAAACAATAGTGTTTCTCATATTATGGGAGTTGGTGATATCTGTGTCCAGACAAATGTTGGGTGCACATTGACACTAAAAAATGTGCGACATGTTCATGATATGCGTATGAACCTGTTGTCTGCAAAAGCACTGGATGAAGAAGGATACGCACACTACTTTGGGAATGGCAACTGGAAACTCACCAAAGGATCAATGGTGGTGGCAAAAGGGAGAGCATGTTGCTCATTATACAAGACACACATGAAAATGTGTGGAGGTCAACTGAACAAAGTTGAAGATGAGGCTTCTCCAAATTTATGGCGTAATAGATTAGCTCACATGAGTGAGAAAGGATTGCAACTTTTGGCTAAGTAGTCCCTTATTCCCACGGCCAAAGGTGAATATGTGAATCCTTGTGATGTTTGCCTATTTGGAAAGCAACACCGAGTTTCTTTTCAGAAGAATTTGACTCGGAAGGAGAACAAGCTAGACTTGGTCTACTCTGATGTTTGTGGTCCCTTGGAGGTGGAGTCGTTTGGTGGCAATAAATATTTTGTTACCTTTATTGATGATGCAACTCGGAAGACTTGGGTATACTTGTTGCAGAAAAAAGGTTAAAAGCCCTTTTTGGTCCCTAAACTATTGTACGGACCCTCGATTTGGTCCCTGAACTAAAAAAATCCCTAATTTGGTCCCTACTGTTTACCATTTTTACCCCGATTTGGTCCTTCCATTAAAAATCGTCCGTTAACTCACAGATATATCAAAAATTTAAGCCACGTCAGTTGTACACGTGGATAAATGATGACATGGTCATACCCAAC